TGTGTGTGTGTGTGTGTGTGTGTGTGTGTGTGTGTGTGTGTGAGGTTGGCACAGTCAGTGAGAGTCTAGAAGGACACCGTGTGGTAGAGGCAGGGACCTTCTCTGCCAGCCTGGCCTCAGATTGATAGCAGCCTGTGCAAATGCGAGGGCATAATCATTAATATTTATCCAAACTGTCATAAATGATTTGGCTTCGCAGTGTCGGCCAACAAGGTGCTCGTGGCAAAAACTTTAAAATTTAATTACTGTATATAACTTTAATGTGCAGGAGGCAAAAATGTCAGGAGTCTTTTTTTTTTTTCTTTGACTGTTTTGAGGTAAAGTTTTGCATGGTTTCATTATCATGTGGATGCTCGGGCTTTCTTTATTCGCTGTTCATTTGAGGCCTGTCTTGTAAGGTGAAGAGATTGTTTTTGCAACTTCGAAACTTTCCCGTTGTTTTTTTTCCTGCCACTTTGTGGCAGTTCTCATCTGTTTTTATCATACTGATTCTTCAGCAATAATTTGGAAGTAACTCGATAAAAAAGAGGAGATAATCTGGAACGAGCTGGAAGCCGTGCGCTATGACATGCCGACTGCTGAAAAGGCTTGAAAATGCTTGAGTATAACTATTCCCTCTCGCTCTCTCTTTCTCTCGTAGGCTGCGTTGGCGGAGACCTCTTTGCCGCTGCTGGGTAATCCAGGCTTGATGAATAGCGCGTCAGGTATGATGGGGGCGAGTCCTCCAGGACTGATGAGCGGCAGCCCGACCGGCCTATTACAGGGCAGCATGCATGAAGATCTCAACGGCGCACTAGATCACCTGGACACTAACGGACACAGCAGTGTTTTTGCAACTTCGAAACTTTCCCGTTGTTTTTTTTCCTGCCACTTTGTGGCAGTTCTCATCTGTTTTTATCATACTGATTCTTCAGCAATAATTTGGAAGTAACTCGATAAAAAAGAGGAGATAATCTGGAACGAGCTGGAAGCCGTGCGCTATGACATGCCGACTGCTGAAAAGGCTTGAAAATGCTTGAGTATAACTATTCCCTCTCGCTCTCTCTTTCTCTCGTAGGCTGCGTTGGCGGAGACCTCTTTGCCGCTGCTGGGTAATCCAGGCTTGATGAATAGCGCGTCAGGTATGATGGGGGCGAGTCCTCCAGGACTGATGAGCGGCAGCCCGACCGGCCTATTACAGGGCAGCATGCATGAAGATCTCAACGGCACACTAGATCACCTGGACACTAACGGACACAGCAGTCCCGGATACTCCCCACACACCCAACTGTGAGTTCACACACATATACACGTGCATTTAGACATAAAATGGCACATTTAATGTGACGTGTTTACAAAATATTCAGCAGGGCTTAATTTCATCCAACAGGATTTGATTGGATCATGAAAAATTTGCTATTTTATTAGCTAATATTGCTAATACTATCAATATGGAATATTATATAATTTTTTTTTAATCATTAGGTACACCAGCATATGGTATATGGGGTCAATTTTGATTTTATTTTGCATTTAAGATCCTAAAATAACTAATTATTATAGAAATAAAATAGAAATAAGTATTTATATTATTTATAAAAAATATATACACAATTATTTAAGTTCTTTCAGATTTTTAGCACTGATTCTGCGGTGGTATGAGTATTCACAAGGATCCTAAATTGTTTAAATTAAATTCACTCATTTCTAAATTCATTCCTAAATTGCCTTTAAAACTAAATTCACTCAATTCACTAAACTTACTCATTGTTTATCCAGTTTCATTCTAAAATATGTCATTTCATGGAAATAAAATGGGTTGCAAACTGCTCATTTACCTTCGATTTTGAGGGATGCTGTGGAGTCATTATAGTTTAGCAATAATAAAATAAAGTTAATGTTGATGTTATTTATTTAAAAAATATACAATGTTAAGGGAAGATGTTTGAAAATTATAGCAAAAAGCAATTTTTTTGTGCCAAAAAAATTGAATATTGTACTTTTGCAGTAATAAAATAATTATTTATTAATTATAAAAAATATATATAAATTTTTTTTTTTTTTTTTCAGATTTTTTTTGCATTGAACTAGCAGTGGTATAAGTATTCGCAAGGTTCATAAATTACATTTAAATTACATATGTATACAAAAAAAATAAAAAAAATTTAGACCTGAAGGTTAAGTGTACATTTGGTTCTTAGATTACAGCTCTTACCTATAAATAGGTAAGAAGTGAAGGCTGCCATAATTATAGATTCCCTTGTAATTACCCCACTGTCCGCATCGCAGAGGTTTAGATGTTATATTTTATGCAAGACCATTCCTATTAATATTTAGCAGCTAACTATATCATTAATTACTTTAAAATCTTTGCCTTTCCATCTTTTTTAATGGCTCACAGAGAGAAAGAAGGAGACAGAGAGAGAGAGCACAGGCTGATGAAAGATTAATGCGGTGCCGGTCGGAGGAATGGTGATATAGAACATGTGCTCGCCCTAATCAGTGATGTCACTCATGCTGGATGGCTGTGTTTACCGAGCCAAAGATAGTAGCACGAGCGTTAAGGGCAACGGGAAGCGTGTCGCACGCCATCAGACCTGCACACGTTCACATTTCATGCATTTTCATGCACAGAGTTGCTAATGCTAACCCAAAGACCCTATTAGCTAAAAAATACACTGTGCGCTCTGGAAATGTGTGTTAATAGAAGTGTGTTTGATTCAGAAGTGGGACAGTAGTGTGAAGTGGGCCAAATCTGAGATCCAGACAGAATCCCTGTGTATTCACTCCCTCAGGTTATTTAACTTTTAATAACGGACCGTTAAGTCTGGTGTTTTTAGACCCCCCTCTCTCTCTTTTTCTGCCTGTCCGTCTGTCATATTTTCTTTCTTTCTGGATTGAAGCGTTAAGACATAAATGCTCAATAAAGGTGAAGGTCCCTGTTACATGACCTCTACATGCTCAAAATGGAAGAAATATGTTTTGCGAGTGGCTTTTTCGGGGCTGCATTTAATAATGAAGAGGCTAAAGAGGACAACATATTCACATTTTGTCTCCTGAGAAACAGAACAATTAGACTAACCTTTCTCTGAACATGTTGCATTAATGGCATCTGTCTGACTAGATGTGTGTGTATGAGCACATGCATGAGTTTTGACATGTTCTGTTTTCTGTATTTTGTTTAGAGGAAAAAAATGTAATTGTTTGCTTTCATGCATGCATACAAAGATAATCTAACATTTTTTCAATATGAAATAAAACTTAATCATTGTTCTTTTTTTAAATGCACTTTATATCAAGTGAATTTTCAATGGATTAACTTGAGAACATTTTAATTTTACTTATTGTTTATCCATTGCTTACTGCTTACTCTGAAATATGTCACTTTATGAAAGTAAAATTGGTTAAATATTTCTAATTTCCCTTAATTTATTTGTGTGCCTTAATTTATGTGCAGTCATTATTGCAAAAAAATTTTTGTGCCACAAAGAAAAAAACATCAATATTAATGTTTAGCAGTAATTATTCATAATTCAGAATATATATATATATATATATATATATATAAAGAATAAATATAAATATTTCATCACTGTGCTGCAACTGACCAATCAGAATCAAGCATTCCAGAGAACCATGTAATAAAACTTTTTAAACACTATTAAATCCACACACTTGCACAAACATGCTTGAAATTGGTAGTGTTTGCAGTCATAGTTGTCTCTGATCGTTTGGGGCATGGGAAGCGTCTTTGCTCAAGCGCTGGCTGTGCCAGTGTCTACAGACACACACACAGACTGGCACAGACTCCGGCTCCAGATTTTCTCATGCCAGCCTCTCATTAAACACAAAATGACTCATCCTGACATCTTAATACAGTGGAGAAGGGACGGCAAGGACTAATCATTTCTCTCTTCCTCTCTCCTTCCTCTTCCGACCTCACAAGCATGCCGCTGATTTATAATTAATGCAAATGAAAGCTGTAAGCCATGCTTCTTCACATTAGGAGTAAAGGCCTGTGTCGAGCTTAATGGCCAGTGGAACGTCGGACCGACCGGGATCATTTGTCTCGCCGTAATATCTTTAAGTATATCTGTTTGTTATTGTACGATAAATGTGGCCTGTGGAACGTTAGGTGAGCGTTGACGGTCAGCGGTGTCTTTTATAGCCCTATCAAACATTATTATGACAAAATGGATGTTTACTAACATTATAGCTTCAATTTTATGGCTCTAGTGTCAGTAAAATGATAAGACCTAATAAAAACATGGTGAATTACAATGACAAATACCTTTTTAATCACAGGTGAACATTCTATGTACTACTTTTTGATACCAAAATAGATTGTAGCATCATTGTTATGGCTGAGATTGCAGAGAAATGATGAGAATGAACAATTTACATAAACAAAAATGCAAAAATTACAGTTACGAAAACTGCTTAAAATTCTGACAAAGAAAAACTATGAGAAAGAACTTTAGAAATTAGCAGAAATTTAAGACAAATTAAAATGACAAATACTTATGCAATCACAGGTGATTGCATTAAATCCCAAAATGATGTTGTTTGAAGACTAAAGCTTGATTCTTTGTTGCTACATAATATCCTTAAGTGTATATCAGTTTGTATATAAATGCGGCAGGTGGAAGTTACACTATTTTTTGATGGCAAAATAGATGTCTATGAACATTTTAGCATCATTATCATTGTAAAAATGGCAGAGAGTGAATTTATGCAAATGATAAAGTTGCAAAAATTACACAATTGTATAAAATTGCAACAAAGTTGTAAAACTACAAGAAAGAACTTTAGTGATGAGCAGTGACAGTCAAAAACGTCTTTTATAGCACAATTTTGTTACAATGACAAAATAGATGATTGCAAACATTATACCAATGTTTTTATGGCTAACATACCTGTTAAATGATAAGAACGAATGGAAATTCCAATAACGAATTCCATAAACCTATGAAAATTATATGAAACTGTCAAATTAGTAAAAAGAAATATAACTAGTAATGGCCGATGGACATGTCAACGAGAGTGTATCTTTACTCAAGGTTACATTGTCTGACGACCAAATGCCATTGTGCTTGAATTAATTGCTTTAATAAAGGAAGGAGAACTTTTTAATTCGCATTCACAGGTATTTCTTGAGGGTGTGAAATTTATCATTGTGGAGGTCCGGCGTAGTCGCCCCCTTTCTCTCCAGCGCACGTAGCTGAGTACAGGAGACAGAAACATCCCGGCGCTTCCACATCTGAATATTAATCTATTTTGCTATAAATATTAAAGTAATCTGTACCTTTTAAAATTCTTTTCATATTCAAAGTTCCCCGTGCCATTGATGAGCGTGACCCAGGAGAGAGCAGCCAGACATGGCCTAATACAGAGACTAGTTGATAAGGAGTCCTCTCTCTTTTTCTCTCTCTCTCTCTCCAGTCCAGTGGGATTTCCTGATGCATCCGACGTGTCAGAAATAATTAGGTTTTGTCAGATTTATCATGGGTAGCACAAACCTCTCTCCCTGCCAAGGGCCCGAGATCATGTTAAGCCTTGTTTGTGTATGACAGAGTTATTATTCTTGTTAGTAACCCTACTTCCGCCCTCGTTTCGGCATCTCGCTGCTCCTCGCCAAACCGCTCCGAGTTTTTTCACCATTTTTTTACCCTCCTCCCTACATTTATTGACAGTCGGTAAAGATATTCATCCATTTGGAGTTAAAAACATGGATCATGGTGTCCGAGGCAACTGGCAGTCTGAAGTTGATTAATGGTGGAGTCTAGCTGCAGGTTGTCTCCTCACTTGAGAAGTGCCACCATAGCCCCTGCATATTAACGAAGGCCTGCACTTTCTATTAACAAGATAAAAAAAAAAAGCTCCACTCTCCCCCCGCCTACCCAACAAACCCCCCCTCTTTGCTCCAGGGGCGAGAGGATGAGAAATTCTCCATTATTTATAATGGGGCTGCAGCTACTCCTTTTTTCCATTTTAAATAGCAGGTGCCATCAGTAAACTTCTCAGCGGCGAGCATATTTTACTGTCAACGGTTTCACGTTTCCACACGTGCTTCATTAATCGGGGTTTAATTGCTGTTAACGCTTTTTTTTGCGACTTTGAAAACACGGACATCTTGAGTTAAGGATGCCGTGTTGAATGCGCATGTCTAATCGTTTTTGCGTGGTTGATGAGTTGCGGCTTTTACTTGATTCTGATTGGTCAGTAGCTGCATTTTTGCTTTCAAATATTTTTTGTGTAACGCTGGGGAAACTATATACTGGCAACCACATTTCTGTATAGCTGTACTAGTTTCCTGTCTCTTTCTTCTCATTTAACAATAAAATTTGAACTTAAATCATATTTAATATCCATTTATGTATTTTATAAGTAATAAGTGGGATAAGATGGTCATTATTGCAAAATAAACCTCTTTTTCTTGTTTTATTAGGTCCTGAATATCTTGTTTATTTATTTGTTTGTTTGTTTGTTGTTATTATTATTAAGACCATTATTATTATTATTATTATTACACTACCATGCAGAAGTTCGGGGGCAGTAAGATTTTGAAAGAAATTAATACTTTTATTCAGAAAATACGTAAATTTACATATTTATCAAAATTTCGTTAAATTTAATTAATTACGTTAAATTTATCAAAAGTGACAGTAAAGACTTTTATGTTAAAAAAAATGCATATTTCAACTAAATGCTGTTCTTTTGAACTTTCTATTCATCAAAGAAACCTGAAAAAATGTATCACAGTTTCCACAAAAATATTAAGCAGCACAACTGTTTTCAGCATTGATAATAAGTAATGTGCCTTGAGCACCAAATCAGTATATTAGAATGATTTCTGAAGGATCATGTGACACTGAAGGCTGCAGTAATGATGCTAAAAATTCAACTTTGATCACTGGGATAATTTACGCTTAAATATTTTTTAAAAATAGGAAGTGTTATTTTATGTTCTAATAATATTTCATATTATTGTACTGTATTTTTTATTTAAATAAATGCCGTATTAGTGTAATCTTTTACGTGTTTGACCAGACCTTCCTCTAAATTTCAGATCATTTTTTCGCTTACACAGGCCTCTAATTCACGTTAAGGAGGAGCCACTAAACATGGACGACGAGGACTGTCCGATGTCATTGGTGACCACAGCCAATCACAGTCCTGAGCTGGATGATGACCGGGAGCTTGAGGAGGGCAACCTATCGGAGGATCTGGAATGACTATTTTGCCCCACCCCTCCGCCGGGGCTCTGCCCCTTTCAGGCCCCGCCCCTCAACTAATCCACAACCACCGCAAACGCAAAAAGACTGGAAGCAGCAGGCGGGAGTATTTATTTAGCATGCATCTGGAGACTGGCCCGAAGAAAATCTATAGCGCAGATCTTTTGGGACCACAGATGGACAGACATGAGACGTCTGCTGTTTAAAAACAAACATAAAAGGAAGAACAAAAGGACAAGATTTCATTGGAATCACCTCGGCCACCTCACACAACAAACACGAGGCTCACGGACCGAAAAAAGACAGAAGTGAAACGGGAGCGAGTCCGTTTTGTAGAAAGCCAACGGCCACATATACTGCCAAAAAAAGAAGTTTTAAGTTTGTGAATATCCAAGCCACATTAGTCGTCGGTGTTAGATGCAATTGCTGGTTCAATTCAAGTTGTTGCTCTGTTATTTTTTGCACACGAGTAGTATCAAAAATTAGTGTCACTGCCTGTATGTCGACAAAAATGTAAAAAGGAAAAAAAGCTGTTTTTCGTTGTTGTTGTTGTTGTTCATTTGTTTTTGCCCCCCCCCACCCTAAATTGTCGTTTCGTTCTTCCCGCGACTTAGCTTACGTTAATTTCGAGTCATGTTTGCGGCACCACCAACTGTAAATGGCATTTCTTAAAATCACATCAGTAACACAACCAAGGTATCAAGACTGTTGCAGCCGTCCAAAAAAAGTACACAAAGTAGGTCTCAAGTCTCACTAGCTCCGTTTCTGCTGAAAACGTGAAATGTGATTCAGTCGCAACTGCTGAGAGGAAAAACACGAAAGAAAAAGATGCGTTTCTGCATATTCTTCTAGTCTCTTTACCTCCTTGTTCTAAAGCTTTGTCTACCTGCAAAGAGTCACAGGCAACAGCTAGAAACCAAAGCCAACACTATCAACGGCCAATAGCTTAGACAGAAGCCACCAGCCTCTTTGGTCAGTCTTCTGTGACTTTAACTAGTACAAAGAGAAGATTTTTTTCCACTAACTACCTTCGAATAACCTCTGGGATTGTCTCCTTTAGCCCTGTACAAAGAGAAAATGATTTTGATGTAATTTGATCGACAGACGGAGCGCTCGCTCAGGCCTCGTGATGTCGGTCGACCCCAAATAAAACGGGAAGACCTCGATTCAGCGACCGTCATGTGGTCCGGGTAGAGCGAGAGAGCCGCTATAAATGGATCATGACCAAAACAACCATTTGTGGAAGTACAGAAAACATTACTTCTGTATTTCTTCTTTTTTTTTTTGCTATTATGATTTGCGTAAGCCATCTTGTCATCGTTTTTACTAGTTAAATGTACTGTTCATTGTGACTGTCCAACGTGTCATGTCTTATATCCGTCAGTTTCTTCAGAGCCGAAAAACCGAAAATATAGTAACCAAACTTTAAGATATCTAGTGAAGCCAAAAAAGTCATGATTTCAAGTCGATATGAAATGATGTGGCTTGGTTATATTGTAAAAGCAAACAACAGAGCCATGACAGGAAGAGGACGAAACCTTTTCCAGCTGACGTTTGCTTTGCTCCATTGATTCAGACTCATTGTATAATTCATGGCTATATAGACACAGCTCGTGTTGGATCATGGGAAGGTTTGTGGTTAGACCATGTATGGTGTATAAGTAGCAACCATTTATTTGAGGTGAAACGCTTTGATTTGAACGTTGCTGATGTCATCGAGGAAAAGCGGTTGTTGCTTTAAAGTTTGCTTCTGTTTTCAGTCAAACCAAAGTTATACAGACTTCTGCCTCTTCTTATACAGTGGATGGAGATGAAAATAACGCAAAGCCTGTTTCCTTTTCTTCTCTCTCTCTCTTTCTTTGATTGTTCTCTAATGCAGAAAACCCATTTGAAACGGATAACTGCTTTGTGTTGTAACCAATAATGTCAAAGTTTGTCTCTCTCTGTGTGTGAAACATACTGTGCAGTTGTTCCCGTTTCGTGCAAACCGAAGGGTTGGCTGCTAGTTTTAGCACACCAACACACACTCTCTCTCTCACACACACACACACACACACACTAATAAGACAGCGAAGCTGGATCCAGGAACAAAGCGTATCCCTTATCCTTTGCTGGAGTCAGCAAATTGACTTGAAGATGACATTCATAATAATTTTATGGCACCAAATATAAGGACGCAGCGTCTTTGAATAAGAATATACAAAAAGGGTTCTCCCACTTATCCAAAAAAGGCTTCTACCTCTTCACAACGCGAAAAAATGGCAGATTGCACGAATCGTTAGAACGCCACGACACATTTTTCCGCCCGATTCACGCAGGATGTCGCCAAAAGCGCCAGTTTACATTCCCAAAGGCAGATGTGGAAGGTTTGCATTGAACTAGTTTGTCCTCAGAACATTTGTAGAATGAATATGTAAAAATACCTGTAAGGGGATATTGTGTTATTAAAAAATGCATGTCTAAATTCATTTGGTGGACTGGAAATAAGAATTATTAAACACGTATAATAAAACGTCGGAATGATGATGATGTTGATGGACTAAATGCATAAAGTGTGCATACCTCAGCTATACTGTTTCCGGGAGGAGATGATGATGATGATCGACAAAAGAAACTCTCAGCCACAGAATGCATATTACCTGTAGAGTTTGCATGGGTTTTGTAAAAACATTTTAAAAAATGTCTAAAATAGTTGCTTGCACATAATACCAGAAGAACCTCCAGATCGGCAGTCTCCTTCAATAGATTTTAGGATTGTCTGGGGTTTTTTCTGGGATGATTTTGTCTGTATTTTGATAATTGTGCATATTATGTAAAAAGATACAAAAAAAAATGTTGGTGGACCCATTAATTTACCAGACATTTTTTTCTAAGCTAAAAAGATCAGTGTTTTTTTCTCCTGAATTTCATGAATTTTTACTGTTCTCTCATTGCTTGCTAAGAATAGCAAACCTGCTTTTCCTGCATCTGCGTTGCGTAGCTGTAAGGCTTTTCCTAATGTGTGTATTTATTGCTTGTACCTCTGTGCATACGTTCTGAAGCATTACGTGTGGCAGTTGAGTCATGTATCCTTTCTAATAACTATCATTCTCCGGGAATATGATCCCCTATGTATACAGTAAATTGAGACTGTAGCAAAAAACATGTTTATGTAATTGGTGAATACCTTTTGGTTGTTTTTGACTTTTCGTTTGGTTTCGTTTCCTTCGAATCGATGCTCCTTTTTGATACTTTTCATTACCGTGTACTGTGTCCATATGTTACGGATTTCTGCGAGAGTAGACGTCACGATTGAGAACTGTAACGGCCGTCATTATTTTCTGTATTCATGGCTTTTCACTGCTAAATAAAATAAAGGACCAAAACTAGGATTTGAAAAGCAACTGTCTACCTCCAACATCAGGGAGTTCTTACTTTTTTGTACACGTATATCTTTTATTCTACAAAGACGCAGCCTGTGGAAATGGGGCTGCATTATGCTTTTATGCAACGTGGAGGAATTAATCGCAGGAACTCAAAAACAGCTCGGAAAAGAGAGGCGGGAAAAAAAACAATTAAACTTTAATAGCCGACTTACACGGCTTTGTTCCGGCTCTCGGCACCTCGAGTGTTGTTTAGACGAGGGGAGAGGAGCCGCCCATGCAGCCAGAGGTGCGCGTAATGGACGCGGCCCTTGTTCTCTGTCCTCGGCTTTGATCTGAGGAGCGTGGCCCGGCGCAACTTACTTGAAAAGGCTATTTTGAATGCAGTCGGGCCCTCTGAGGGGGAAACGAGTGTTGTTTAGACGAGGGGAGAGGAGCCGCCCATGCAGCCAGAGGTGCGCGTAATGGACGCGGCCCTTGTTCTCTGTCCTCGGCTTTGATCTGAGGAGAGCGTGGCCCGGCGCAACTTACTTGAAAAGGCTATTTCGAATGCAGTCGGGCCCTCTGAGGGGGAAACGGCACATCTTCATGCGTATTTGCTATGATTTTGGCCCCCTGTTGATCTGCAGCGTGTTTACTTTAACGCTGAAAGCACGGCGTGAGGGAGCGGTTAATTCCCCAGAAATAATGCATAGCGTCTGGGCATCTGCATAGCGCGCTTATAGCTGAGTCTTTTGTTAGTGACTTTGTAACCAATTAGGATTTATAATAATTAATGAATGAAAGTAATGAAACCAACCCATAGTCCCGCGCCCCAAACTCACGCTATTGGTTGAGCCAAAATTTCAGACCCTTGAAACATAAAGATCGACGTTTAAACCTACAGATGTCATACTTTCAATGGTCTGTGCATTTTAAGTTAGTGTAGGAAAAAGGAATCTTAAAGCAATAGTTCACCCAAAAGAGAAAATTTGCTGAAAATGGCCACTCGCCCTCAAGGCCATCCAAGATGTAGGCCTACATGAGTTTGTTAAACAGATTTGGAGATATTTAGCATTACATAACATCACTTGCTCACCAATGGATTCTCTGCAGGGTGCTGTCAAAATGAGAGTCCAAACAGCTGACAGCATAACAATAACACAACTGCAGTCCATCAATTAATGTCTTGTGAAGCAAAAAGCTGCATCCATCATTAAGTCGTTTTAACCAGGGTTGCCAGGTTTTTACAACAAAACCCGCCCAATTGCTACTCAAAACAACCCCAATCCCGTTTTGAGGGGGATCCCCAGCTAAAAATCGCGTTCTTTTTTGGCTGGGTTCAAATGCACATTTTAGGGGATAAATATGTTATTGGGGTCTCTTAAACCCGCGGACATTAAAAACAATCCGTGGCAACAGTGTTAAAGTAGCCCAATTCCGCAGGAAAACCGCGGACTTGGCAACACTGGTTTTAACTTTAAACCATCACTTCTGGCAAAATATGCGGAAATATACGGATAAATAATCCGTAATAACAATCCCTCCAGTGAAAAAGTCCATCCCCTTACATCAAAATCCACCAACATATTGGTTTAGAACTGTTTCAGACTGTTTACACTTGTAAAAGGTGCTTGATCTGTGCATATTTCTCTCCTGATTCAGACGAGATCACTTTTTAACTGGAGAAAGCAATTTTATGAACTCTGGAAACAATGGTTTGAATTTAAAACCATCTTGATGGATTTGTTTGTATTACCAACATGCAGCTTTTCACATTACAAGATGGTAATTGATTGATTGGGTCATGTTGT